CACTACCTGTTCGAATGTCTTGGTGGCGGGTTTCAGTGTCGACAGCATGTTCTGAGGATTCGTGAGGAAGGGAAACCTGAAGCAGACCGAACCCCCGAAGAATGGGATTACGGTTTTGACTTCATCCAGGACCATGGCCCCCGTGAGAACATCAAGAATAGGCAACTTCGTTGGATCACCAAGGAAATTGCTCGAAAGGACTCCCCCATCTGCAAGTGGCCGCCGGTGTTGGTGGAAAAATCTCTCCGCAACTTGGCTCAGGATGGCGTCCTCTCGCAGGTCCATGAGGTGTGGCCCCTCACACTATATGACCTGGACATCCGCATTCTTCGTGCTTTGGAACCGCTCATCCCGACGTTGGTGGAAAAGGCCGATGGATTCCATGGCCTTCCTGGCGCGTGTAAAACTCCCGTGGCGAGGACACTCGCCATGGCCATCTCCCGTTACTGGATCCACAAGGCCAGAAAGGACGGAGAGATCCGACCGTCGTTTCGGCAAGCTTGCGACTTCGATTTTTTTCGCGGACAAGCAGGCTCCCTTATGCGTCCGGACATCTTTGACGATGGCACCCTTTCGGACCAACCATTTCGCAAGGTGAAAGCCTTTACGTACGTTAGCAATATTGAGTCAATGCCCAAAGAAAGGCAGGAAGTTCATTCTGATGTCCTAGATACAATTAGTTTAAAATATGAAACTATTAGCAGTTGTGCTATGCTCTCTTGCTGTGCAGGTGGGGTGCTGCTAAATGGGCCAAGGGCCAACCCCGCATCTACTGCGTCAATGAATTCGAAGAGAACACGGAGCCTAAATTCGATCAGTCCCTCCTCCAGCAGGCCGAAGGCATTTCCACATATGTCTCCCACGACGACTTCCTCAAGATGCTGGAACCCTCATGGTATCCCAAGGAGAACAGCAATGCAAACGTCATGGCCGTTCTCAAGCGGACTCACAACTTCTTGAACACTGCCACATCTCTTTATGTGCGCCCGGCGGGTGAGAAGCCATGCCCAGTTCTTCGTCATCCACTAGGCGACAAGACAGACTACCTGCATCGAGACTCCCGCAGCGTGTGCGACTTCCATCGCAAGGGTGGCACAGATCTTCCAGATGACTTCGAGACGAAGCTTCAGTGGGAGTCGAACTGGTTTTCAAAGGCCATGAGCGAAGACACTGCCGGCTTACAGATTTTGATGGTGTCGATAGTGAAAATCATCATATTCACTAGGTTGTTTTTGGAATTTTCTTGGAAATCCAAAAAAACCTAAGGAATACACTGCTTTTGGGTAGCGACACCTACAAATTTCCATTATTTCCTAGGTATTTTTTGGATTTCGTTACAAAATCCAAAACAAACCTAGGGAATATGATGATTTTGACTGGCGCCACCAGCGAAATCCAAAACTTTCCTAGGTGTTTTTGGAAAAGGATAAAAATTTCAAAAAAACACATGGAGATCCAAAAATTCCAAAACAAATAACAAATCCAAAGATTTTGTGAAAATCTTTGGATTTTTGGAATTCTGCAGAGTAATTCCTTTTGCGAGCCCTTCATGAGACTCAAACATGTAATTCAGCGTAAATCGTGCAGGCTTACTCTTGGGTACACAGTGTTCGTTTATTACCGTGCAGCTTGTTTGAAGCTTGTCTCGTTGTGCTCCGATCCGAACCCCGATTTTGTGACACAGTTTCGGGTTGCTATCTGAGTTTTGCACAACACCATTCTTACTGGCATTTACGGTGCTTTCTGTATGTTTTACATATGGAAGAAAGACGGCGGTAGATCATGGGGGGGGGGCTGACCATATATATAATATAATATACAGGTGTATATATATATATAATACATTATCATATAGGCAAAATCATGTATGTAGGCATGCATGTGTGCACTAGTACGCGAACAGGCAGAAGGCCATTGAATGCAGAGCAGATCCCAACTCTATATAAGTACATATATATATATATATATATGTATATACATATGTGTATATATGTGTATATGTAGGTATGATCTTGCTGTCCTATACATTAGAAACTTAAGCCTTAATTATACTTATACTTCATCGAGCAGATCAACTTCATATGCCATCGACAACCGATACAAACAAAACACAACTGGACCCCAAAACCGAAACAGCTGAACCTCAAAACGCCGAAACCCTTGACGCTAAACCCTTGTGCAGCTGATACAGTTCTTGTTGCGCAGAGTGAAACTGGACCCTGTGCCCCACACCGCCGCAGGAGCGGGAGGAACTCACTGGCTCGGGTACTTGCCGCAGCCGCTGTCGGGCAAAGTCGGGCTGTGCCGCCTATCAGCTCAGGCGTTTTCAGTCAGGTCTTTAGTAGAAGGGCTTTTTGTTGTTCACTGGGTATTTACAAGGCTTCTACGTTTTACACCGTGTTGATAAGGGTTTGAGAAGGGCCCTTCAGCGATTTAGGGTTTTTTTGCGTTCGGCGTTGAGAGTTTCGGTTTTGGGGTTCTAATGTTTTGAAGGGTTTAGGCCGCGCAGTTTAGAGACCGGACTACGCAACCTCTGTACCCATACGATGCATACTTTGACCTTATCAGTGTGTTGAGTGCTCAGGGTCCAATGACAGGGCTTTGGATTTCGGGGTATAGGGTCTTACGGTTAAAGAATTGAGGGTCAGGGTTTGAGGGTTTGGTGTTTCATAAGAGTGCAGAGTGTGTTCAGGGCTGAAGGGTCTGAGTTATTGGGGTTTGGCATCTGGGGGATTCGGGTCAAAGCTTGACTGGTGAATTCGTCGCTTGAAATCTGAAGCTTGACTGAGTATGGGGCTTAGTTGGGTTCAGGCCAAACCGGTAAACCCTCACCAATCTACTCCGCACTTGTTTGCAGGGGCTCCAAGTGCTTTGCCGTCCGCCGCATGTCTGCGGCCGCATGTCCACAGCTCCGATGGCCGAATATGAAGGGAATCTATAGGGGTTGTATTGTTGTACAGGAGGTTGAAGGATTTGGGCTTGGGGCTATGGCTTTGGAGTTCAGGGTGTAGGGGCTTGGGTCTTAGGGCTTTTCGTAATCCATAAAGCCATTGATCAAGGCACCAACTGCTCATGAGGTTGAAACCTAGGAAGAGTTTGGCACTCCGTTGTTGCTGGTGGTCTGGGACAGTCCGGGACCTACCTAGCTTCCTGCATTTGGCAAACCTTTCTGTGTCTCATCGTGTGCGGGACTTAGTGTTTAGGTTTGGGGATCAAGGTATAGGATTTGGGGTCCAGGGTTTAGTTTTCAGCCTGTCATCATATTGCCTTTCAGTCTCTAGTTTCTCGCAGCAAATTGCCACGATCCATCTATCTATCCAGCTATCCATCCATCAATGTACACAGGATGTAAGCCCGCAGCCATGAGTCGCTGATTGTTTTTCAATGACCAAAGAAACAAGCGAGGGCTGCTGGACCAGCTCAGAGATCCGAGGCCCGCGTAAGAGCTCCAAGATGTCAAGCCATTCCAGGACTTGTCAAGGCTGTGGCCCGGGCACATGCACCAGCTACTGCACCAACGGCGACTGTGCAGCTTGGGCTAGCATTTGGCAGAAGTCTCGCGATATCACTCGGTGACGCTCATCACCGCAACAGCTACAGGGAACCCAGCATAAATAAGATAAAGTACTCGTCGTCACCAGCAGGCACAAGGACAGGAACAGTATCGGCGAGGTCGTCGGCAGCAACGACACGATAGTGCCAATGACGCCAACATCTTTATCATCGTCGTCATACTGTCACCTCACCGTCACGGGTTCCAACGTCACCACGATCAGTCAACACTATGCACAGGAGGATTTGCACATCCGGATCCCAGTTCTCTCTCGAGCCGAACAATGTTCGAAACATAGGAGCATGCGGAGGTTAGGCTACATTGGTTCAGACGGGATGTGAGGAACACCGTTTGAATGTGATTGTCTTGTTGGGGACCTGGACGGCTGATTCGTATCCCTGTACTACGGAACTCGGAACCCCCCATGTGCCATGCCAAGACCACGCCGCCGGATTGGACCCAGTCGGTAGACTGCACTGGCTGCGCTAGCCCGGACCGGGGGGCACTGGAAGTGGAGCTCATGGGCAGCGTCGTCTAAGGTAGTTTTCTCGTGGCCGTAAGCTTGCTCAGTACATCATGTCATTTCAACGTCTTGTTATTCTAGTTAGTCGTGTTGGTGGTGGGTCGTTGTAGTTTATGCTTGCATTTCGGAATTTGACATTTAGCCTTGTACTCGGTGTGATGCATTAGGTTGCAGGACCTCAGGAGCTCAGCGTCGCATCCGAGACCAAACCCGTTGTGCTAACGGCGGGGATATTTAGTCACTGTTGGTCAGAATTGAGGGCCGAACACCCCAGTGCTGGATACGTTAAAGACCCGCAAAGTCTGGACCAGAAAGCCCTATCTTTTGCCCGAAGCAGTCTTTCACTGCTTGAGGTCTATGCTAACTAATAACCTAATACAGACCCGAAGCCAGGCCTCAGCCTCTAGATAAGCCTATACGCCTAAACTCGAAGCTTCAAACCTGCACCGAAAGCATCGAAGAGGATTTTACGAGCGCCTTTGTTCGGATCAACGACTGCGACGCCCAGTCGAGCTGCGAACTGGCTGGAAGCGGGTGTGAAAGTCCAGTTACACGGTAAGAACAATTCTGCGTTCAAGGTTTAGCAGTACTTGGCGTTCAGGGTTTACGACAATACATGTTCGATTCATGGAAGGCCGCGTGACATGACGGTTACTCTTGTCAATGTCGTCGCTCACGAATGTATTCACATGACGCGCCTTCGTGATAGTATGCAGCAGCAGTATACGTCCTGCGAGAAGAGTTTCAATGCCAAACCCAACGCTAAAACTCAAGCTCTCATTATATTCGGCTTGTACAAATTACGCAGTTACGTATTCCATACAGTTTCTGTCAGCTCCCATGGAGCTGTACATGCAAAGCATTCAATCCGTTCTTCCGAGAAACAGGTCGCAGACTCCCACGACGATGCTGAATGCAGGTAGTATGAACCTCATCGTAAACCTTGATTCTCCCACTAGCCAGCGTCTAAAAGATGCAATCTCCTTCCCACGCTTCGCAAAAGAGCAAGGCCTCTCGCTCACCAAACTGGGTGCTGGAGCTGCTTTCCTTGAGGTGGCGGCAGCCAATCCGAAGGTTCAGGAAAGGCTTATGTTTGACGACTGTGAAAACATGGGAACGCCATTTGGCGTTCCTGTTGTTTGAAGTCGGTTGTTGCCTTGGTGCGAGACAATGTTCGGATCGAGATGATGCAGACAAGGGCTTCTCAGACCTTGCAGGGATTGTGCTGAGTGCTGGGCGAGACAAGTCGTACATGGTCCGAAGGTGTCTTGTGTTTGTCAGGAGAATGCGGACATTGACCCAAGGTTTACTGTCAGGTTGTGGGTTTCATATAGGTTTTTGGGCCCCCTAGGCTGAAGTAGCGAGGCAGTTGACACTCGAGCTCCGTGCAAAATTTGTATGAGGATCACGTTTCAGAAGCTTACCGGCTGGAAGCAATCGGCTGGCAACAAACCTTCTCAGAGGCCCTCAACCTGCTTGACAGCCTGTACATGCAGACTGTTGTCAGAAGTTTCAATTTCAATAATGGCGGAAGTCTCGCAATCTGAGCCTGAGACTGGTCTGACACACACACACACACCATCGTCACTTTTGCTCACCTCATGCCTGGATACCTCGCTATGTCAATAGCGCAGCTTCCCGAGCATCTCTGCAGTAATCAATCGTCGAACTGTTGATGCCGCCAGTATAGCGGTTGAATCAGCAAGAACCATCGAGGTTTCGGGCAGTGCAGCTTCCTTTCGAGACTGCAGCCATGACAAACCTTTAAACGGCAACCACAGGATTCTAAGCCTTGAGCCCAATCGCTAAGGCCATTGCAGGCACACTTTACGCGTTGTTTTCTCGCCGCTAGAGTGTGCTTGTGTCGAACGTCCGCTGCTGATGATTAGGAGGCTGCCGGAAGACGTGTCTGCATAGTTACCCACAGGACTAGGAACCAGAGTGATACTAGAAGCAAAACGACCGGCAACAGTTACAGTACTATAGTAGCGGCTTTAAGGCAGCTGTGGTCCTGTGCTCTACAGGGCGAGTACTGTCCTGCGGCAGACGGCGAGAGCGACGGATTGTTGCCCTACTATGCGCCTCAGCTGCTCTTC